GGGAAAATACATCTATGTGAAGGGATAAACCATTGGCGTCCAAGAAAACATGTACTGTGACACATGACTTCATTCTTAAAGGTGAAGAAACTTATATCCAGCAAGTGCTGCCTATCTCCAACATCCCCTAAACCGCAGTCAGAGATAGCCTACACACTTCCTACATATCTCAGAGCCAGGCCCGTGATCGCGGCAGCCAGAACCCAGACGCTCGCATAGACAGCTGCTCCGTACGAGTCTACGCCGCTGAGGACAGTGGTAGCCTGCAAATAGGTATCGACTCCAGCAAAAAGCATGGCCACGGCAGTTCTCTTGACTGAGACCTTGGTCGGGGTGGTGTACCCCCAAAGGTTCCAGTAGATGGTCTGTCCAAGGTTGGCGGTGGCCGGATCAAACTCGGCAACTTCCTGGTCCCTGATGGTGGGCGAAGCCGTGACAGAAGGAGTAAAGATCAGGGTACGCGCAGCCACGCCGAAGAGCAGGCAAAGGATCTGCGTCAGCGGGCGGTTGAAGCTGAAGAGTTGGGCGTCTTGAGCAGGCTCAATGGTGCGTATACCCTCAAAGTAGAGCACAAAGTTCGTGGGCAGGAAAGTCCGGCAGGCCAAAAACAGTGTAACGCTGTAGACGAGGGCGGAAAGTAGCGATGTAAGCACCTGGATCTGCCTGTCGACAACAATGTCCCGATTAGGGATACCAGGTGCGGCTGAGTGGGCGCCCGACAGCTGGCGCAAGAGGAGGAAGGGAACAAAGGTCGATACGACCCCAACGGCAAGGTAGGCGCCGGCAGTCGAAGCACGGATGCCATAGTAAGTAGAAATCAGGTAGGCCTGTGGGACATGTCAGTTGGCTGCGTCTACTTGTGTGTGTGTGTGTGTGTGCCAGGATGGGGATGGCATGGTAGACAGCGGATGGAAACTCACCGTTGGACCATGAGAAAGGACAGCCAGAGCAGCAAGGTCAAAACCGTCATAGTTTCCGTACCAACCCAGAGCAAGTCCAAATCTGCCATGCCATTGACGTTAGTACGATGGAGCTGTACCTCGTGCGTCTCTTTTTCAGCCCTACGACAGGGGTTTGTTTGCCAAAGAAGCGAGCGCATAAACGCGTGTCATGATCAAAGACCAGGGAGGTTCTTACAATTTCCAACCCGCTAACGCAAGCGCTTCCGTCTGCGTTAGAGACGAGGCAGGCCTAACAACCTTGGCCAGCTCGCCGTGAGTGTATTCCGCCACCAAGGAACGCCCAAGAGACTCGAGATAAAAGCTCAGGATGGCAACCAGGGCAAAACGGACAGCTCCCGGTAGTCGCGCACGCTTCAAATGCGCAGGCACCACTTTGTGAGTCTGGGCAACTTCGACAGCAGCCTCTACGGCTGGCATGGCAATCGAAGTTGCGAGTGCGACGGGGTCCGCAGCCTTGACCGCATCTCCAGCTGCGTCCTCCACCGCTGCCGCCACCGTGTCTACTACTTTCTTCACAGACTTCTGTCGAGCCATCGGTACCTAGTGCCGTTCGTGGTTATCGATGCGAGGTAGATGCGTGTTCGAGCGGGGCGCGGATTGCTTCTTCCTTTTCTTTTCTTTTTTTTTTCTCTTCCTGCGGGCGTGATGAGAGGTGACGCGCAAGTTTGCGGACTTTTTTTTTGTTTTTGTTGAGCTTGACTAATGCGGCGTTGGCCGAGACGTGCACGGGATTCGTAGGAACCAAGGCACTTGGTGTGTGTAGAGCAAATGACAGACGAGAATGAAGAGAGCCTTGGGGTGGTTTCGGTTTTGTTTTCAAACGGCAAGAGCCGCGTCGGATGATGATGATGATGATGATGATGATGATGGAGATGATGATGGAGAAAAGAAGTTACCAGTAGTAATTGTAGAGGTAAGAGCTTTAGGCCTAGGCACCAAGGTATGGTGGGAAGCTGCTGATGCGTGGGCAGGTGGAGCAGTGACGTCTATCGCCTAAGGCCACTGCATCAGTTAACCGTCGGAGGTCCCCCCTTCCCGTCCTGCCCGCCGCGCTAACCTCCGCATCCACCCCACCGCCCGCTTTTGGGGGAGGCATGTAAACACAGCGGGCAGGTCGAGGGGAGCTCTTCATCAACCCGCCCGACCACGCGGCACTGCCAGGTAAACCCGCGCCGCCAGGCATCAAGCAAGAAACAATTACTACCTCTACCTAGTACCATTGCAACAAAACACTGGACATTATCAGTACGGTATGTACATAGAGGTAAGATATTGCCACGGACCTGAACTTTGCCAGCCTACGGGCCCTCAGCCGAAATCAACAAGTATTTATTTCATACCCTCTACCTTAGTTTTGTCCACGTCTTCGCAAGCTCTTTCCATTTACCGAGGAACCTGAAGTTGAGCTCCAGCGAGACTCAACCTCACTTACCCTGGTGACAGCCGGAGAAGTCATCAACCATCACCATCTCAGACATCTCTCTGGTGTGTAACCCCTCCCTTCTATTCCACCACTACCCTCGCCAGCCAAACAAACTACACGGGCAAGTTTTGCTCCATCCATGGTTGTGTTGTATGTTCATTTGGTATTTGTTCGCTCGCTAACTAGATAAGTTTCCAAGTATTTGCTCAACGCTCGCTCACAACACTCACTTTAACCTCGTGGAGTTTTGACTGCGTCCCGCGACACCTCTGGCGCTGGCATCTCTCAGCCCATGAGCCATGGCTCGCCAACCACAGTGCTCCCCACTCTTCGGTGCCAAGTGTCGTTGGCGGAGCAAAGTGCCTCATTAACATGGTTTCGATATAGATTACAAAAGGAAATCCTTCATCAGCATCATGAGTTCCTTCTCTTCCCGCGCCGTCCACGAGCTGCTTCCGCAATATAATACAGGCAACGGACCGCTTCGGCGTTCTCATTCTTCCATTCTTCCAAAGACACCGTCGTCGTCCTCGTCGCTTCTTGCCCGGGACCGCATGTCTTCGTCGTCGTCATAGTCCATGACGCTATCTTCGTCCATCTTGACGTCGCCCCGCTCGCTCTGGCAGCTCTGGCGTAACTCCCCTCTAGTAAAGCTTTCCGGAGCTCTACTAGGAAAGCTGTTGATGAAGCTACCAGTAATAAGGCCGAAAGACTGGCCCAGATATTGGTTTGGCAGAGGTGGCACCAGGGGTGCGTCTGCTCCGAGGTGAAACGACCGAGGGCCAGCGTTGCTGTTAAAGCTACAGCTAAGACCTTCCACTGCCGCAGCCAAATCCCGATCTTCCTTGCCGGTTGCGTTCCTGCCGGACGACGTTGGCCTGTGATCCTGGCTCATCAGGCTGAGCTGGCGGAAATGACCTCCAAATGGCGAACCAACCGGCACGCTACCCGCCACCGAACTACCGAATGCCGCAGATTGATACGACTGCGCAAACCCGCTGCCGGTACTCTGTCTCTTGGTGAAGCTCATGGGGAACCCGGTCATGTTGCTTAGGGTGTCCAGCTGGGGCGGTGGGGTCGTGTCCGCAGAGCTGCGCTCTGGTTGATCCGAATAACCTGATGCTGCTGGGGATGCCGAATCCTGATCGCTGTTGAAGTCGTGGGTCGAGTCAGGAGGCGTGGTCCCGGTTGTTGGTTTGTTGTTCATAGCTACCAAAACAGAAGCCGCCTCGAGAAGCTGCACTTGCTGGTGCTTGGAAATCAGCAGCTTCGAGGTATATGACCATTCGGGAGTGTGCTCCCACCTGACGGTAGAGACAAGTCAACACAAAAGCTCTCCAAAAGCATTGCCCGAGTCCCGTGGCCAATACCAATCCTTTACACTCAACAGTCATGGAACAGGGAGTGGGAAAGGGGAGGAAAGGAAAATGGGCACACACAAATGCTTGGTCAAGCAGCTGCTATGCTTGTATCCCTTCCCGCACTTCTCACAGCGAAGTTCCGGGCGGTTGATTCTTCGGCTTTCCTTGGGCGCCGGCTGGCCGTCACTGGCCCTCCTGTTTCGGCTCTTGCTCGCCCCGCTGCTGCTATTGTTGCTGTTGTCTCCTTCATCTCCGGACATGTGAACCTCATCATCAATTGCGCTGTCCTGCATGTTGACTGTCCCGTCTGATGTTACGAACTTGTGTGTTGGTAGGCTGGCCGGTGGGGAGGGTAGGCTGCCGACGACAGCAGATCGCGAAAGACCGTTCTTGGATATCGTGTTGCGGCGTGCGTTGATGGAAATGGGCAGTGGCATAGCCTTGTCACCGGATTCTTGTTGGAGGGCGGCAGCAAGAGCAGCGACGTTCGCACCCGTGTTTGTCATGCTCTTCCGGCGTGTGACGCGGTGGGTGCCGTTGAGGGATCCGGAAAGGAGGGAGTGGGAGTTGGTGCGTGAGTGCGGCTGTCGAGCGACTGACAGGGCGGGAATGGGATTGGAAGACACCGACGGACGGTGCGAGAGCGGTCGTGAGGTTTGTTGCATTTCCTGGGAAAATAGCCGAGATCATCAGCAACGAATGGGCTGGTTCACAAGTGGGTTTACTGGGAGGAAGGGAGGGAGAAGGAGTCGTTGGACATTAGCGGAAGTCTACCTTGAACGAAGCCATTGCCAAGCGATGCAAAGTGCCCCTTTTTCTCTGTCGTCGAGCGTAAACAGGAGGATGACAAGGTAAGAGTAGAGAAAGCTCGGAAAATATTGTTGCTATGTCGTGAAATTTGGCGGCCAAGTGTCGATCACAAAGAAGTAGCGTCCGTCTAAGGCCAGGCAAGGAGCAAGGCGGGGAAATAATAATAATCTCGGGATCGGCCAGGGGTTGGTTGGTGAACCGGTGCTCCGTCTCCCGCCACGATAAGATGAGGTACGTGGAAAGGGAAAGAGAGGATAAGAAAAAGAAAAAGTTCACCTGCTGGGCAGCAGGAAGAATGTAGGCAACGCCAACACCAGTCAGATGGTTGTTCGTCCAAGACGAGAAGGCAGGAGTGGCTGTGCCTCAGAGAGATCAATACTGTGCAGGAGAGGAAACGGTGGTATTCGCAGCCAGTTCCAAGTAGGGGATGGTTGCGGGCTGCCTTGAATGGGTGTGGTTGATGACCGGGTGCTCTTGAGGGGATGTGAAGCGATTCAGACGAGGAACGATGGAGGTGCAAGAGATACAAGTCCAGGGCAAGCTGTCTCCAAAAAAAAAAAAAATCCAGGAAAAGAGGATCTGGAGAGAGACAGGACAGGCGCCTCTGCTGTCCGCTGAGGTGATTCTATGGTCGGCGGACTGGATGTTGGTTGGCTGCAGACGGTTAGTCGCAAATGGGATGGCGTGGAAGCTACCTAGACGCAGACGCAGCAGCCAGACACCAGACAGCCGAGACGCAGCAAGGGGTCCTGGATGGATGGGTTGAATGAGGCACTTCTACTGGCTCATCGCCAGCCCTGGATGAATGGAGAGAGTCCGAGACTTTCTTGAGCAGGATGGCACCAAGTGGAAGCACCTCGTTCATCGCTCCCGTCAGGTTCCAGAGCGCTGATTTGAGTTGATGGTAGACGAGGTAGGTAGAGAAGGAGAAGGAGGGCCGGCCGGCGGATTGCCAGCTCCAACCATCCTCCGATTGCGAGAATAGAAAAAGGTGGGAACTGGCAAAAGCCCGGTTGGGTACGAGAGGAGTACCCATATCCACAAAGACTGGGGGAGGCACTGACAGGTACCCCACAAGAGCAGACGGAAGTACTTTGTTGGCCTGACACAGTGTATGATGGCGGTTGGCTCTGGATAGGCAAGGACTACACTAGTATTCAACTTCCGCTCTTTGCCTTTGATATCCAAGTTTCCTTGCCTCACCCCTCCCCCCCCTTTCCAGGGAGAGCCTCGAGCCCAAAGTGTGCCAGAGGTTACTCCTGCAATCTGGGCCATGTGTCTTGTTAGACTTTTGGTCCCGATTAGTGGACGCTACACGATCATCACCCACCATTGATGTTTGTGCTGAGCACTATTTTTTTTTTTTTTTGGTTTTTTTTCTCCTCTCCTTATACGGTCTGTGCTGGGCGTCTACTCTAGCTCACTTGAGGTAAGCTACTTACAATCTGCATTGCTGCCAGTGCATAGTGGTTAGAAAGTGACGTTCCAGTCAATCCAAGTTCATGGCCGCATATATATGTATATCTAGGCACATCCGACTGCGGACCGCACCACGACCTCCCGTCATCTGTTTTCCAATCGCAACTCTGGCATGTTCATCAGGAGCTGACCCGTCTACACTACAGCGGGGATACCAGGTACGGTGTCTCAGAGACAAAAGGGCCGCATTGCCCTTTATTCAGGGCCAGGGAAGACATCAACAAAAAGGCGGTACAAATGGCGGTAGACAAGCTGCGTGGGTACTTGGTCAATGACTAATTCGGGTGAACTTTCACTTCTTTACACTGTGTGCCATAGTTGGCTACGCAAGGAACGATTATGTACCGTATCCACGACATCGGGGCCAGGGACAGACAGCATTCATTCATTGCA